GATTAAAGCAGGGAAATTAGGCTGGACCACCGAGAGAGAGAGAGAGAGAGAGAGAGAGAGAGAGAGAGAGAGAGGGAGAGAAACAGTCATGTGGATTAAGAGTCGGTGCGAGACAGAGGGGGGCCTTTCTCCGGCGGGGCGCGCCGTGAACCGTTCTGAAAGTGATTTCGTTATTTCTCAGGCAAGTCCAGCGTGACGGAGGTGCGTCAGTCAGGCGTCAATCATAGTCTGTTGTCAATCCGCGCGGCCGGAGGCGGAGATAGACAACCAGGGCGCGGCGGTGGCGGCGGCGGCGGCACCGATACTCGGACAGAGACGTCGACAGGTCAAACGGAGCAGCTGCCAGCGGTAAAGTGGCCCGTAGACCATGGCGGCGGCGGGGGAGAGCTGCTGCCCTGGGAGCGAGCTGCTCCCAGCCGACGCTCATCATAACACAGCCATTCATGAACCGTGCGGAAGAAGCCGGGGAAAAAACGGACGCATTTGTGTTGGCCGTCCGGCCGGCGTCGCTGCCGCCGCTCGGGGGAGAGAGAAGAGAGGAGAGAGGGGTAGGGAAGGGCCTAACGGTGCGTGGCGCCGCCGGGGAACGCGCGCGCGCCCTGGCGGCAGCGGCAGCAGCAGCAGGAGTCGGTGCGGTGCAGAAAACAGCGAGCGGCGCACTGCTCCGGAGCAAGGGCGAGCGAGGACCATCCAGACGGACTTGGCTATCATGCTATAAGCCAGCGAGGCTTCTATAATTTTGTTTTTCTCCCACACGAAATGATGACGATGGCCCACGGGGGCTTTATTACTTTCACCACCGCCATTGCGGCACTACTTCCAGTCGGCGACACGACGACGAGGTCCTTTTTGAGTTTGAGCGAGGTGACAGTGTCTTGTATCCGGCGGATACAATGTGGACCACACGGGGACCACGACACCACGACCACGCCGCAGGTGGCCCGGCAGTGGAGGAGAACTCACTGAAATGGGCCGTTAACGCAGCCTTGAGTGCCGGCCGGACACTGTCAGTGCCTGTGATTAACCACACGGACCACGTAGGTTTGTTGATTAAAACCAAGCCAGCCAGAAATGTAAACTCGAAACGTCGAAGTCGACCATTCGTCGATTTAGGTGACAAAAACCCATCGAATCGACGTCGATTTCGCGTCGATCGATGAAATCGACTAAACTTCGACGATGCATCTCTGGCTTTGCAACAATGCCCTATCGCGAAACACTACTACAGCAGGCTTGATTACTCTAAAACAAAGGTGCGGAATTCTGTAATTTGTTACGCAGTAATTTATTGCAGAAAATATGATATGATACTCAAATCTGTAAAAATAATCGATACAGACTTGTATAACGGATACAAATTTCTGCATGACTGTCCCAAATTTGTGTATCAGTTATTCAAGTTTGTATCACGTTTTGCAGATGTTTTGTATCAAAAGTAATATGCAAATAAAACCGCGTAACACATTAAAAAATTCTGTGTTGATTTCTCTTAGAGTGAGGGTATGCGCGATGCGAATTTTGTGCGCAAATGCCGTGCCAGCCGACGACCTCGTGTACACTAGCCGGGCGCTTTTGTGTGCCGTTCCAAACGGCCCGGTTCCAGTGCGCCTGCATGCGTCAGTAACCCCTCCCCCTCTTTCCCTCCCCCCGAAAATCCTCACACTGTGCAACTGGTTTTGAGGTCCGGCAGTCACAAAACAGGCCGCTCTGCTGCTGGACTCGCGCGGACAGGGACAGCGGTCAGGCGGGGCGGGGCGGGGCG